CAGAATCGGTGATGGGCCACACACATCATCTCAACTTTCTGGATTTCCTTTTACGAACGTCTATCAACTTTCCTTTACTTTTATCATCCTCCTAGTAAGTCTATCGCTACACGACGTATTTTACATTTGCAAAAGAATGGTGAGGAAATGTGTTTTTGTAGTGATCAGTGCAAAAAGAATCTTCCCGGTGGAAGATACTTGTAGGAAATACCTTGAATAAAAGTAAATGCATGTTTCATCGTCGTCAATTGATGGTTCATGATTTTCTGTCTTTTTTGATGAAACAACAAATTCGTTGTGATCGGAATTGTATCAAATTGGTACAAAATCAACGTATGAAATACGTAGAAACACCGCGCAAATTTAGCATATGAAGAAACCCGGAAATAGATATACTTTTCGGAAAGCGTACTTGAGTGATTGTTCCTCGTACAAAATTCCACGCGTGCCTACACAGAAAGCGGAACTCAGCAATCCGGAATACCATTATATACTCATTCATTTTTGAAGGCTCATATTAGTCATATTTATATACTATCATGAAAGTTTTCGATCGCTCTAATACATCTGCTCGGAACTCGGCATTCCATTCAGTCACAATACACTTGACTCTATCCATGTAATGAGTCAACCAATGGCCCAAGAAATCAGTTTCTTGGACACACCACTCGCACTTCAAGGGATTGATCTTGAACGCAGCAGCTTGTAGTTGCTGCAACACTTCTTGGATCAAGGCCATATGTTCTTTGTAGGAATTGGAGAACAGACCAACATCGTCAATATAAATTTCAACACCTTTTTCTTTTAGGTCGCATAGAGTTTTTTCTATATAGTATTGGGCAAAATCAGGAGCCGGTTTCAATCCCATTGCCATTCGGTTGTATTGGTACAAACCATACTGGGTATTGATCGTGCAAAGTTTTTTGCTCCGCTCATCCAATTCAAAAGAATAATACATCATTGTGAGATCAAGTTTTGTGAAATACTTGTAGCCAGAACAACGGGCAACAATATCATCAATCAAAGGCAAGGGGTATACTTTACGCTTGACATTCTTGTTCAGCTGTTGGAGATCGCTGATCCATCGCACCCTACCGTCCTTCTTTGGAATGATGAATGTTGGCGACGCCCATTCTGACGGTCCTGTTCGTTCAAGGACTCCAATCTCTTGTAGATGTTTCAACTCTTTGAGGAATGCAGATTCATGTTGCTTGGGCACTGAATACGCTTTTGAAAACACGGGTTGTGCATTTTCAATGAGCTCCAAGTGAACCTTCTCACGCTTGTAATGTCCAAGTTGACCATCGAAAATCTCATCTGTATTCTGCAACGCTTGAGCCAGGAGCTTGCGCTGATCTTCAGTTAGATGCTTTTGCTTGTCAGCAACTTCAGCACCTGAAGTAGCTTCATATTTTGCATCCATGATAAAGGCATCATCAGCATCATCATCATCGTGGATATCCAGGACCCTCCGCAACTCGTCCGTCAATCGACCGTTTTGTGGATTGATAAACTCGACTAGTTTGACTACTGAACAGCTTTCCCCGCACCCCTGAGCTGGGGCATTACTGAAGCAAAAAAGTCGTTTTGAATCGTTTCGTCCGTCGCAATGAATCGTTTCGATTCCTTTGAATCGTTTCAAAATCATTTGAACGGTTTCGTTTCGCATTTGAATCGTTTCGATTCCTTTGAATCGTTTCAAAGTCCTTTGAATCGTTTCGTTTGAATCGTTTCGTGTGATCTTTGATTCTCTTGGCTAAAAAAAAAAAGAATATGTCAGGATTTCTTTTTTTGTATGGCGGTGCACCTTATGCGCCCCCTGCGCACCCTCCGGTGGACCTCTGACAAGACCTGGGGTGGGCCCACCGTGCACCTCTCCAATCCTCCTGCCTCCATACCTCACGAAAACCAATAATAAGACCCCGATCCACGGGTTTTCATTTTATGCTGGTGGAGGGGTTTATACTAGATCCCCCGGGGAGAAAAGAAGGGGGGAGAGGAAGAAGAAAGGAAAAGGAAAGAAAAAACGAAGAGAGAAGAAAAGAGGAGAAGCAATAGGATTGCAATGAAGGGGCTCTACAACACAGTGCTGGTTTCATGCATGGCGTCGCAAGATGACATATGCTATTATCCTGGCGTTAGCCAGCGTTAGCCAGGATTTAGACGAATTTAGAACGAGGTAACAATCCATGAATGTTTGATGTGATAATCGATGCGTCTGAACCGCCTGAAGTATTGAAATGATGTCCAAGCACCTCTAATCCAATAACAATATCTACTGTCCCTACATATCGAAGAATAGATCAAGACTTGGAGGCTCATCGCGCCGCGATTTTTGTGTCTCGAAAACTTCAAGATTGAAACATGAAAGTGATGTTAGTGTATCTAAAGAGATCGCAGCCCGATCTTGTGTCGACAACAAACCATTTGGAAGGAGAGTGAATCAAGGCATGAAATAGTGCTCGACTCTAGCAGCTGATATTATTGCTATGACACTATTGAAACTGCGAGGGTTGCAAGAACCAGCCAGTATTGGATTCGTTAGGCAATTGGTGGCGTCCTCAATGGACTCAATATTTAGGGAACCAAGCAAGATGAGTAAGGGCCACCACAAAGCCCGATTCCATCGCAAAGAGAGTAAATGTATGTTCTACGATTGAAGGCATGCAACAATCAACCAGTTTTCAGTAAGATTCACAGGCGAAAACATAGACAGAAACCTTTCATGGTTCCTTGTTGACCAAAGCCGCGATAGGAAAGTCTGTTACAGTATAGTCATATATGATGCTTTCAGATTCGACTATTTTACATTCTACTCTGACGGCAATACAATCAACCTTTTTGCACCCGTTTGAGGCAATGACTTGATTCCAAAGGTGAAGAGAATACTACCCACTACCTACCTATACCGGTATCAGCAGTTGATTTCAATCTGCCATCAGAGAAGAAGACTGAAAGATATTCGATAATACATAGTAGTACTCTATCTGCAAGATTGAAAAGTCAGTTTCTATTGTTTGATCTATCTATTACCTCATGTAGTACCATTCAATTTCAGTTGCCAACCTACCACCCCATTCTTCAGGGCAGCTAGAAGTGATCCTAGGGGATCTACAGCGCTTCCTCATGATCGAGGGCTACGGTTGGTCCTTAAGACAAGGTGTTTAGTTATTTGATAAGACAAAGAGAAACTGCTATGGCCGTATGGAGCTTGGACCTATCATCCCCCTAACATCATTTGAAGTCCGTGGAGAGTACTAATTTAGTGTGTAAGAGAGTTAGTCGAATCTATCATTAGTGATAGAGAGCTGTGATTGGCTCATACCACTAATAATAGACTCATCTTTAGTGAATCGACTAACTCTTATTGGCAAAAAATTCACTAAAGACCCACCACCATAAAACAAGAACCGATCCACGAAATACCCCCCCAAAATTCGGGTGGAATTTGGAATTCTGGGGACAAAGCAAAAATTTCAAAAGACACCTACGGACCTACAACCTTTTCAAAGCGCTAGAGAATACTTTGCCCATCGCAAGTTCATAGGAGGTGTTAGAGGGGCTCCACTGCAGAAAACAACTTTCGGGTAACGGCTAAAAAACCAGCCGTTAGTCAAATTGACTCAATTGACTTGATATTGACTCGTGTGATTGCCAAAAAAAAAACTCAAGAGGCCAGAGGCTGATCTCGTACCATACGACCTTGTTGCGATTACATTCTTAGATAAATTTCAATGCGATATTATAAGTATATATATTTACTAGGACTAGGTCCACTCGGAATTAGAGATCTTTCTGTATATCGATCTTATTTCAGGCCATTCCACAAAGTCAATTGAAAAGAAGGAAAGAGAGAAAAAAATTATGCTATCCTAGATTCTTTTTTCCGCCATAGCCCTCCAAACCACCGCTCAAATTCGATTACTATATATATTTTGACCAACTTTGAACTTGGTGCCATCGTGTCAGGGTATCGACTCGGCTACTGAGAAGGATTCCAGCCACATTCTTTCATCAACCTGGATTGATCCCCAAAGCAGTGTGAATGCTATTCAATCACTTTTACCTAGAAAATGTCCACTCCAAAGCCACCAATCTTCTCATACATACCCATGGACGACGAATATGTGTTAGAACAAGGCATTTTTAGGAAATTCGGCCCACACCACCACTAAGTGGCTTTTTGGACCAGATTTCCATGATTTCTGACCCCGTTTGGGCGGCATGATTCTTGATCTAGGCGGAACCATTGCCTGGGTCCCAGAAAATTTAAACAATAGGCATCCAAGGGAGGCTCTGGTGTATTGTTGAATGGATGGCTGTCTCCAGGGCGGCCACGCCGACCCTCATGCTGAAAGGGGAACAGACAGCACAAAACACTGGAATTCCAATATCTCAGCAAGTATTCCAAACAAAACACAACCGAATGGATCCCCGAGTAGGTATGATCACTGCCGAGCTTTCCAGCACATGTTGAATGTGAGGCATTGGCCCTCTTGACTTTCTGCCGACCAGTTTCTGCAACCCAACAGAACCAGCCGAACGAAGCAGGGTAGATTGTAGTGTAATTGAGGCGATTGGAACTATAAATCGCCGCTCCAGCCATAGTCTATCTATCAAATACGCTTGCCACAACATGTTCGTCGGTTTTTACTTGTCTGGGCGTCCACACTGGCTTGTCCAAACGAGGGGAATAATCGCACCATGGCACCTTGATGTGCTCCAAATCGTCAATTTTGGTAGTTGGACACTGCAAACGAGTCTCCGTGTAGATCTTGTCTTGGTGGTGACGGTAGATATGAGTCGCATTCGGCAAATACGTCTTCTTGACACCTATCCGTCCAGTCAAAGCAACCAACGGAACCAATCATGGTGGATTATTGTGTGATTGCGGCCCAGCAAAATATATTCAACATAATTACCGCCGCTCCCAATGTAACAAATATATCAACTATGCTTGCCACAACCTCTGATTCCACTTTCTCTAGTCATGGGGGCCAGGCCGTGCAATTTCATTGTGACCGGCGAATTTGCAACTCAATGGTCTCCGTTGAAAATCGTCGTGTAGCAACCCAGATAATGCACATGAAATGGTGGCATTGCCTTTATCATAATAATTGAAGCAACTTCCGCAGAAAATTCTAGCTCTATGTTGCCTTGGGACTTCGTAGACGTCCCGAAACCTCTCCAAAAGTAGTTTTAAGACGTTGTTGAAGTTCTTTAGCAGTGATTTCAGAGGTGAGAGGGGCAAATGCATCCATATCGCTTCATACAAACAAGATGGATACGATCACGATACAGAGAATGTCCGCGACCCACGAGTTTTCCTCCAGAGGGTGATGCTTTCCTCGGCCTCGAGGCTCACCATTGCCGATGGAAGGAAAAATTGATGTGATTGAAGAATTCTCAACAAGCGAGCGCATTGAGGTGCGCGATAGGTTCGGAGACTGATGACGTACAGAAAATACCACGTTCGCGCGCAAATTTTACCAAGCGCCCGTAGAATTTTTCGTAGAACCAAAATGGAACCAAAATGGCATCCCAGACATCACCTTTGTCAACGTTACCAAGTGCCGATACTACAGTACTGAGGGAATACGTAACAAAGCTGGCCTATAACCTACATCCAAGCATATACTACATTAACTCGACTCTTCGTCTTATTTAATTCATCCCACTCTCTTCGCCATTCTCATCAACATCTTCATCGATTGCCATCAGCAA